GTGTGCAATAATACGGGGCTTGTGCAGAAATTACAGAAGGTATATTTGAACCTTTGGGTTGAAGTGAGAGGGCTAATATGCCACTTCCTCTTTAGTGTGCGTTCTCAGTGTGTGTCGTCTCCTCCAGTATATATTCATGTGAATGTTTGAGTCACACTGTACATACAGCCTGGGGTGGGGACCCGGAGCCACAGGAAGGAGCTGGAGTGGAAGTACACACACACACACACACACACACACACACATACACACACACACACACACGTTAAAACGTGGCTGCTCTTTGACATGGAGTCTGGGCTAGTGTGTCATAAAAAACAGTTTTAGCAAGCAAGAGAGGGGAACAGGAAGGGAACTTTATGATTTATGATTCGACTGTAAAGACGAAGGAGGAAATTTATGGTGAGGGGGACTGAAGGGGATTGGAGAGCAGTGAGGAGGGGGTCAGTGCAGTGTGTGGAGAGAAAAACTGGGAAAAGCTGAAGAAATGGATCCATTCTTTAGTGAACTTTGATAGTGCAAAATTTTATCCACCACCAAAAATAGGACTTTTACAATATATACAACAAACTCCATAAGTGCATACATATTGGTGTTTGAACAATCATTTACTCTGACTGTACTCATTTTTAAAATAGCATTTCCGCTCTTATTGTACATTTGTTTTGCTGCTGTGACATACTGTATTGTAATTAATCTGTTTTTTTTTTATGTTAAGTACAAATGCATATTATGTATGTTTCAGAAAACGTGATTCGACTCAGTTGCACATCCCTTGGATTTCTAGAAACTGCACTTTATCTTCCGTTACAATCTATATTGTTGGTATTATTGTTAATTTTATTTAATCTTATTTCTATATATATAAATAGAACAAATCAGAAGAGGCTTCAGCAAGAAAAACTTTTTCTGGCAAACATTTATTTTGAAAAGGCTTCGAGTTTGTTTCTATTCTTTAAAATTTTTATGCATAAAATCTTCACTAAAGCCTGAAAAATATATTTCCCAGATAGACTTCACTAAACATGTAGCTGCAGCTCACACTCATCTTACATGCACATGTGTGTTTAATCACACATTCCTACGGCTCTTTGTGCAGGGACACATATCGCAGGACGCTGTGGACAGATGATCTGCAGACACACACACACACACACACACACACACACACACACACACACACACACACACACACACACACACACACACACAGAGGCTTAAATTTAGAGTGACACTTGGGGGAACATCTGGCATTCTTGAATTTAATGTCTGCATCTTTTTGTCAACAAATACAGGCATGTACAAAAAAAACAGCTTCAGAGACCAAGAAAAAGAAAACAAAGAAGCTGGAACTCAGTTGCAGAGATTATTTACATTTAGCTAAGTGGACCAAGCAGAGTCATGGAAAAAATGTTTTACTTTGTCAATGTGAAATTAGGAATTGGGATGACATTGCACTTTGATGACGGTCTGTGATGTTTCTGTACTGGACTCGGACTGAATGGAGCTTGGAAAGAACAAATACACATCTACTGTACGATTTCTCCTCTTTGATCCAGATTTTACCAGCTGAAGCAGTATGCCACCCACAGTGTGTGCTACAGTCGCCCTCCACTGTGATCTGGGAGTAATGCATCCATCTGATGTGCTGCAGCTGAAACCCAAGAGCTGGCAATGAATGCAGTAACAATATTCAATATGGACTAAAAAAGAAAGAAAGAAAATAAATAAGAAACTAGGAAGATATTCTAACCTTGAAGCAGCCTATCTGCTCTACTAAATTTATATTTATAAGAATATATTGAAAACACTCAAAATAAATAAAAAAACTCTCTTTAAGACAACAATTTTTTCAATTTTATTAAGAACACTTAAAATAAAAATACTTATGGTTATCTTTAATAATAATGAAAATGATTATAAGGATAAACATGCGCTCAAGTTTAGAAGCTTTTCCAAACTTTTGCCCCACAAAATAAAAATTTCAGAGGGACATAACCCAGACACTGTGTTGGGCATACAGTTTAAAAAGAAATGCTAGCATCAACAGCCAATATATTTGCTTAAATGTTGCTTTTACTTATATTCAGTGGGTGTTTTTTGCAATCTGTTACATTTTAAAAATCCATATGCTTTGTGCTTAATATTTTTGGCATTTAGGTTGGTTTCTGAAGAGGCCCAAACTTATATTCGTGACAACTAGTGGGGTCCCTACCCCAACTTTGAAAATTACTGCTTCTAAAAGTATCCATGCATAACTTAATTTCCTCTTTTCCTTCATTATTCCTGTCCCTGTCCCTAGAAAAAGCACAGCATTGTAGCTTCACATATAAAATACACTTAAGACCTCCTTAAAAAGGGCCACGTAGTCAAATACAAACTCTTATGATCACAAAAATGAGCGACAGGAGCAAAAAGGACGATTTTGTTTACTTACGTGAATGGAGAAGTAAGGCGGGACCTGTCTTCAACATGGACCAATAGCGTGGCGAGGAAGCTTTGATCGACGTTCATTTCAACCAATCAGTGAAGGGTACAACTGGACAAGCGGGCTACGACACAGTTTTTTTCCTCTCAGCGCTTAGACTGAATCTAGCGTTTTTTATCGTGTTTTAGCTTAATAACACGAGCAAAAGGAACGAGGAAACGAGAGTGAAATAAGCGAGTTGGAGCTAACTGGAGTACTTTCTTCACAGCGTGGGTTTTTGGGACCGTTAAAGAGACGTTTTGCCCCCCTCCTCTTTTGACAGCTGGCTTGCGGATTGCCCCCGTTTTACACTTAAAGTTCAGTGGTGAGTGGGTAAAAACTAGCTTAAAAAGGAAACGGGGCAGGCTGGACGCACTCCGTGTAAAATAACTAGCCGCAGTTTTTCCTGAACATAATTCTATTTCTGCGTAATGTTACATCTAACGGTGTGTATAAAAATCAGGAAATAACTCATAATAAATGTGTTTAAAGGTCAGAATACGGTTCTCGAGGTTAGAGGTGGGTAACACGAGCTGTAGCAATTTTACCCACACTATTTAGAACAACATAAATGTTTTATTTCATAATAATTCCCACGTATTCAGCCACGTTAGTGTTGAAACAAAACGGAAGCGTCTGAATGTCTTAATTAGTCGTGAGAAATGCTTTAATTCGCGAAGCCACGCAAGCAATCGTGTAAGAGAGTGAAAAGCATCGTGGTGGATGTTTGTCCACATGCTGCGTTCAGGGACCTTTTGTAAGATCTGAATTTTTAAGATAAAAGTTCAGATTTCTAATACTCATTTTAAAAAATAGCTACAGTTTGAAAATATGTTATTTGTTTAACTTTTTGGCAAAAAACTGAAAAATATATGTTTAGTTTATTTTTATTTTAATGGAGTAAAGGATACATAAAAAAAGGAAAAAAGTATTTTAATTAAAAACCTACTGCTCTGGCTAGGGAAAACATTCAACAAACAGGCAAAAATAAATGAATAAATAGATTTTAAAACTATTTTGTCTTTATAAAACTGAGTAATAATAATAATTAAAAAATTTAAAAGTAAAAAAAAATCTTCATAACTAAAGAATTCGGTTTTCTGAAATACACCTCAAAAATGTGTAAAAAAAATATTAAAAACTGAATAAAAAATTGAAATATTTCATTCACAGAGAAGTAAATCTGGCTTTGTCAACACAAAAAAACCTAAAAAGACAAAGGTACAGTCATCTAATCTTTTATACAAAATTAGGATAAAATTTGCATTTCTAAAACAAGTATCTGTACAAGTCTTAATTGTGCAAATAATGTAGCTCATTTTAATTTATCATGTGATCAACTGATTTATTGCTGATATATATTATTTATAAATATTATTATATAATTTTTGTATTTATTTACTGCTTTTGAACTTTCTGCCTAGACAGTTGAACATATTTTGATTTACAATGTGTTTGTTAACGTTGTCCTTTTTACCAGCATTTGTAGACACATCTACAAATCTTGATTTTTTTTTTTTTAATTTTCTATTTATTTTTTTTAAATGACAAAAATAGAGAAGAGAATTAGGAGGCTTACAAATCTGACTCAGTTCCACCGGTTCTGTCAGGAGGAATGAACCAGAACTCCAGCTGATTTTGAAAACCTAAATAAATAAATCTGACATATTCTCCCTGTCATTATTGTATAATATAGCAAATAGAAATACTTCAGGTAATTCTAACTGACTTAAAGCATGAAAGGTTTGGCCTGATTTAACTTCAAACAGAGGAAACATTTTTTTTATACAGTGTATTTAAACAGACCCAGAAAAAGACATTTGTGTGTTAAGTGACTGCTTAGGGCCCCCACACCACCAGGGGGCCCCCACAAGCACCAAGGTAGCATGATAGAAATGTGTGTGTGTGTGTGTGTGTGTGTGTGTGTGTGTGTATATATATATATATATATATATATATATATGCTACCACATATGAAAAATTTCCATTATTTTTATAGTTATACATAAATTAATTGCTTCCTGTTGATGGCTCCACTGTTGTGGAAACGTAAGACATCAAAGTTGTTTTCAATAAATTTTGTGTTTATCATCTGCTATTACTTTCAGATGGTTGAAATAAAATGACACACTTGGATAAAATCAAAATCCAAATATTTTTTCTTAGCTTGCTGCTCATTTAAGATAAAATAAATGGTATAATTACATTATGCTAATGCTAGTAGGTGCTAATAGGTATGTTACACACAAAGAGTAGCTTAGGAATGATTAAGCATTTGCATGTTGACATGTTGGTCCCAAAAAAGGCTTGAACCACCCCTGTAGTTAAACTTCTGGTTTCAACTGTAAAATGCTTTACAAGCATATAAAAATACTAGTTTTTAATTTTCAGTCCTATAACGTTTTACCGTAAAGTCGGTGCACACTTTCCCAAACCTTTAGAACACTCTAACCCATATTTAAAAACTTGACTATAAACCGTTTTTGCCGAGTTGCATGACTGTCACTGAAATCCCGACATGTCCGAGCTGCTATAAAGTCCGCGAACGCATCAGCATAGCACGATAGCAGCAGGCTAACAGGATTTAGCTCAGAGAAATCCCCCGCTGGAGAAACGACGAGCGAGCACTCTTCGCTGGGCACTTCAACCCGAGTAACGCTGCGCTTTCAGACGAACACCGACAGAACAATGCCAGGTAAATATAAATCTCTAACGGCTGCATGTAAATGACCGGCGATTGATGCGTGTTAGGCGGCGGTTATGTTGGTAAGCGGACGCTTGTTTTGTTGACCTGCTTCAGGGATGCTGCCATGCTGTAGCAGCCTGCTAGCTGATAGCGAAGCCCACTTTGTTTGGCCTCAAATATTCGCGTAGCACCTGCGTTTGTCCTCGGTCTGTTTCGAGGCGTTTTAAAAGCTAATTTCGTCCTTTTTAATTTGACGATTGTATTGTTGGGGATGTTTTTGCGCTTTTTGAGTTTGAAGTAAAAACAGTTTTGCGGCAGGCAGCCAGCCCCCCTCCGCTCTTTGTTGTTGCTGGGATAGCTTCTCACCTTTTCCTTTTTTTTTTTATTTTTTTTTTAGGCCCCGTCCACTGACAGTCTGTTTACAGCCGGCCTCTGAGCATTACCTCAGCTAAATCCGTTCACAACAGGCTGCCTGGGGCAGAGCTTTACACCTGGAGGAACCCGTTAGCAAGGCGTTAGCTTCGAGCCGCATCGGTCCTGTTACATGCAGCTCTGTTACATCACGGAAACAGTTCGGAAGGCGCTTATTTACACTGTTTATTATGGCTGAAACGGACAGTTTAGGAATGGTTTGCTCCCCCCTGCTGATAACTCATTAAGTCTATTTGATATTTTCAATGTTTCTCATACAATTTAGCGTATAAAATGTCATTAAAATGGGTTTTAAAATTCACAAATTATTAGGAAATTCCATAAACTGAATTGGTTGGTCATTACCTCCGTGTATTTGCACTAAAATGAACAAAAAAACATACAAGGTTTAAAATTGCAATACAAAACAAGTTAAAACATTTAAAAATGTGGTTTTAATCCAAAAATACTAAAAAAAAAAATGTTTTACTTATTTGGTTTACGTATATTCTCATATTTACCTTGATGTTTATTATTATATATTTTCTATTTACTTTAGTTTTTCTTGTAAATATTTTTATTATTAATCAAAACCTAAAATTTATTGTGTGTAAAAATACTTGGCTAATTGGATTTTGGTTTAGTTTTGCTGGTAAAATGATTAATTTACATTAATTTAGCTGTCCCAATCGTTGCTGCTTGTGCTCTTAAAACGATAACGAGGGCAGTAGAAAAGGGGGAAATAATAAAAAAAAAATATATATAAAATTTCATAACATGGTGATAACCCTTACAAACATGGAAGTTTTTCTTTTTAATACAGTAATTTAGAAAGAGTTGGAAAATGCAGTGTAATTGTAGTTGGTAGCCAATTTTATATATTTTTTAATAAAAATTTTTAAACCTGTATGCAGTGACAGATTTAGAGCTAAATGGACTTTGCCTTAACCTCACAGAAAAAAAAAATTGCATAAATAAAACCTTTTTTTCCACTTCAAGTTACATTTATATCCACCCTGTGTGTTAATTATACAAATAAAAATGTATTGAAAATGACTCTTCTAGTTGCTTCCTTTCACTAATGATGGAAGTCTGGATGTTTTAAGATGAATGTATATACCTTTTAATACAAAACCTTGTATTACAAAGTTACATTTCAACACTGGAATTTAAGATGTGTGCATGGAAAACTGTAATTTCACAATATGTTGGTGTGTTTTGACCGCGCTAATTGGATTTCAGCATCATATTTGTTTATCTTAACTGATAATTATTGCTTGAACAATGCAGATGTGCGTTAGTTGCATTTTAATGGGAAGGCTTTAAGGTTTGGCTGCTGAATGCGTTTTCTACAAGAGTTTAATTGTTAGTTGCAGGCTGATATGATGGGGTTTAAGTTGTTTTTAGTCGGTCTATATTAAATATTTAAAGGATTTTGCTTTGGATGCAGTTTTCTATCAGGGCCACCATTACTGGGCTTATTTTCTTTATTTGTCACTCGTGGTTTTTCCTCATCACATTTGAAGCTTTAGCAGTTCTCTGACTTTTTACAAACCTTTAATATAATTTTTAACACATTTAATTCGGATTCAAAGCAGCTCCTGAGATTTCTCTTTAAAGTAATTCTTTCTCCTTTACTCTCTCCTGACCGGTTTGTTTTTCATTCATCAGTTATAGCTAGCTGTTCGATTAGCCGTCTTTATTGCTTCTTGTAAACGGAGCCAGACGCATCTTTCCTCTGTCCTCTAACCTACTTAGGTTACATGTTTGTTCACGCTGTCTTGAAAAACACCGCTTGTCCGTCTGTGTCAGGGTAAACTCCGCTTGCACATGGCCGCTGCGCTGCACAGAGCGTGAGAGGAGAAACATTTCTGTCTGAGGTCTGGAATTGGCTCATTATGGGATGTTTTCTGCAAGTCAAACATTGCAGAAACGACACCTAGGTCGGGTCGGCCCTAAAGCTGCTCGTTGAGAGACATGTGTGTATATATATATATATATATATTTTTTTTTTTTAACCACGTGAGTCATGACTGGCCTGTAGCAGCAGGAGGATTATGTCATCAGTATGGGCTTGTCAAGTATAGTAGTAATACTACGTCTGCGTGAGAAAAGCGCTGATCAAATCCTGACTCCTTTCACTTGGAGGAATTTCTTTGCTTTGTGACAACAGGCTGCTGCTCCTGTGGCTCTTTGTATGTCTGTGAACTGTTATTGATCGGGACGCAAATATCCCAGATGAGGGAGGGAAAGTCCCACTGAAGGAAGAGGAAGTCTTATTTACAAGGGAACTAGATTTTTTTTTTTTTCTCACTTCCTGAAGATATTTACTCTATGCTTATATAAAGAGTTTTTCTAGCGGGACTACCACAACTACTGCTTTTAATGTTTTTATTTATTGAAAAAAGTAATATCTAAACATCGCTGATAACATTTTATGCAATTTAACATTGATATAAATTATGTAATGTAAAAAGAGACTAAAGTATAAAATTACTTTCTACTTGAGAAATGTTTCTTAGTTGGCAGTGGATGAAGCTGTATGCATTTAGTTAATCTGAAATATGTCTGCAACGTGTTTATAATATTTTTAAAGTAAACTTTTGCATTAAATGACAGGAGAGTTGTATTTTAAAAACATTCCCAACAAGGCAAAGTAGTATTTACTGTAACATAACCAATTACTTGGTTTTATTGTATTTAGTTTGTTTTATTTAAAAGTAAAACAAGCCTTAATAATTACGTGACACGCCAACATGGACTAACAAGTTATTGTGAAGTTGAAAATGAAGGACAGATGGTTTCTGTTGCATTTAGAGTTGAACATTTTGCACGATTTTCCTTCTAGAATAGCTCACACTCATTAGTTTTCAAGTCTTTCCACAAATTCTCAATTGGATTTGTGGAAAGACTGTAATCAATTTTGTAATCAATCAATAATCAGTAATCAATAATCAGTAATCAATAATCAGTAATCAATTTTGCCAATTGATTACTGAATTGGTAATCAATAAGGCAAAATAAGGCAAATTCCAATAGAAAAACATTTTCTATTAAAGTTTTTACATAAAATGTAGTAATGGAGACAGTAACATTACTCTTATTTTGTTTCTAGTATTGTTTTTAAATGTGATTTTTTTATTTTTTATTTTTATGAAGAACAAAACGATTTGATCAGCTGCACAAAAGTTAATCAATCCGGTGCGTTTCTAAATGTTTCCGTTAACATTTACTCACAGACAGTCGCAGCAGACGGGACAACTTGTCCAGTTTCTTAGAACATTTTGCCTTTTTTTTCCTTTTTTTTTGGCTTGGCGTCATCCTGAGCCGCTGCTCATTCCTTGTGCTGCTGAGGTTCTCAATGAAACTTCCTGTCTGCCTTCGCCCGGGCCAGAAGTTGTCCCATATCTGAGGCAACTTCATCCTTTGAGATGAAGTAACTTGGCTCAGCTGACGGAGCAGCAGATGGATCGGTCATAAATCCAACACTCTGAAATCAAATGACCGAATCGTATCCTTATGGACTCGACTTTTACAAAGCTCTGTTAGTGATCTAAATATGTGATTCTGGTGACTCTTCCGGACAGGAATTTGACACTTCTGTACTAGAGGATGCATTCACACCAGCCCTGATTAGATTGAACTCTAGTTTGTGTAGAAACTCCGGTTTGTTTGCGCGATCAGGCTCTGATGTGGCCCAATAAAAGCAAACCCTGGTCCACCTAAAAACCTCGATCTCGGTTTGGTTGAAGTGAACTCTGTCATACGAATGCATGTACACGCAGTTCGAATGCATATATGGATACCAAGCGAGCCGGCAACAACTCCAAAGGCAGGAAGTAGACTACAGTGCAGGGGATTCTGGGTAAATACAACCAAAACAAACACTCAAGTCTAACACTAGCGGGAGAAATTACTGAGTTTTGCAAAAGAGAAATCATTCAACTGCTAAAATCTGACACCACTCCATTTTTGTCGTTACATTCAGTGTTTCTTGGTGCAGCGCCCCCACAGGTGTGGAGGGGAACAGGTTTTTCAATTAGTTTGGTTGGTTTGAGCCAGTGCAGTGTGAAAGCAAACTGCAGCAGCTGAAAATGCAACAAATGTTGCAGTTATGGTCAGAAATGCTTTAAATTATACCTCAACAAAAATGCCGCAGAATTATCATTGACTCCATCGATTATGCTGACTATTTGTGGCTTATTCTAGTCTAAAACCACCTCTACTGTCCTATTTTAATGGTTAGAACATCAAATATACCTAAATATGCATTAATAAGCGCAGTGTAAACCGTCCTAGCAGTGCAGCAGAAGCTAAGGTCTACAGTTCTTATGTCTGCTGTTGGGGGAACAGCCAATAATCTGTCAAGTAGCATTGTGTGCAAATATTTCAGCTTCCCAAGCTGCATTTTCTTTCAGATATTTTAGATGCGCTCTACAGAAAAATCTGTAATTGGAAAATTTCCTCAACTAAACAGAAAAATCCACCAACATTGAACCATAAGAAGGCGGAAAATGTTTGATTCCTGCTTTATGACGGTTGTAAATAATTTCTTTACAGATGAGTTTTTATCATGAAACGAGGATTTCTTCAGAGAATTTTCATAAAACTGAAGATTGACCATCAAAAATCTTTTTTGTTTCCTGTGAAATCCCTCTTCTAAGACAAATGTATGAGTGTTGCAACGAGCAGCAAGATTTCACATGACTCATTTTATTTGCCTGGATTGCATCATGTGCAGCAATCTGCAGCAGCTGAAGAAAATAGAAGTAATATCTGTCTGTGATTTTTTTTTTTTTACGGGGTAAAACAATTTGAGATCCTGTTGTGCGTTGAGGTTTAATGGAGTTATTTACCCACTTCTCTCCTGGTAAACTGTTCTTACGATATTTGCTTGCAGTATTTTTAAACGCTTGTCCACATTTTAGGCTTCAGATTTGCTTTAATGAAGCGTCTGGATAAAAAAAAAAAAGCCGCTTTAGGCAGAGTGAGTCATCTGAGCCACGTCACATTAAAACGTGCTTCAGCATTTGTGAATGAAATTATAGTCTGCAACCCTCAGTGCTCAGACAGGAGCCCTTTTTTCTTTCTTTCAGGTTTTAATTCATTAGTTGCACTTCCTGCCTTTTCCAGCCTCCACCTGCTTTTAAATTTCATTTGGTTGCTTTCCATTAGCTTTCCACACACTGTGAGTTTGCCTGGTAACGGAGCTGCGCGTTCGTCTCTGGTTAATGATGAAACGTGTGTTTTACTGCAGCGCCGCCTTCCTAATCCAACTGGAGATGGTAAACAAAATGCCTGAGACTCTATTTGGGCTCCTGGCTGACTTGGTTGATGAATCGGGTCACCTAACTGGATCCATCCCGGCTGTTTCCCTTATCAAGATGTTATAATGAGAAGGGAGTCATTCTGATGAACCTGGATCATATCCTAAATTTAACAACCGAGATATTGAACTTGTTGGACATTTCTTATGTTTTAGGGCTGGACGATGTATCTGAAAAACGTATCGTAATATAAGCATTTTGTGTCGGTCGATATCAATGATTATAGATTAGTTTTTTGCTTTAAATATCTGAAATGGTGTCAAACTTGTGGGGTGACCTTTCCTATTTTTATCCAGTTTTCTCTCCATGCTGTTTTTTTATTTTTAAGCAGTTATGAGGGACTTGGGCCTGTCGCAATAAGCAGTTAATCAATTATTCACATGAAAAATTAAATCAAACTTAATTTTCAATTGTATGATTTATTTTTCTATCTTTTTGTAAAAAAAAAACAAAAAAACTGGATGACAGAAGTTTTTTGGACTCGACTAGCTCTTGTTTTGAAGGACAGTTTGATTTAAACTCGTTTTATTTGTTGCCTCTATTTAATTTTTGTGTTGAATGTTTGTTAGAAATTAAAGTTTATTGATATTTTACAATGTGTTCTTGCATTGTTATTCCATTAATGTTATATTACTTCAAATTGGTCTCAAAACAACAACATTATCGTTTATCGCAATAAATACTAGGATCATTTGTTGTGACAGGCGTAGAGAGACGGTGGCGAAACCTTTAACTTCTGCTGCGCAAGTTACTCAACAGGTTGCTAGGTAACCAAAGTTGTGAACTTGAAACTGCTGGCCGCCCAGCAGGTTGTTGCTAGGTAACCAGAAAGAGAGTTGGTTGATTCCACCAACTTTCCTTCGCTGGTTGAGCAGCTGAAGCCTTTCCTCTGCCTACATCCCCCAGAATCCTGTGCGGTTCTGGATCGAAGTTCAGTTGAAATTACTGGATCTTTCACTGATATTGATTACGCGTTTATGGTCCAGCCCTATCACGATCTTCACTTTCATTCTGTAACCGTCCAACAGAGCCAGCTGAGATGAGCGGTCCAGAGGTCGCCAACACACCGGGAGGCGGAGCGCCGGGAAAGGAAGGGAAGGAGCCGGTGGCCAATGGGCACGCAGGAGACGGACCCGATGCCAACCCGTTTGCCGAGTACATGTGGATGGAGAACGAGGAGGAGTACAACAGACAGGTGTGTTTATGTAACGTACCATTTCATGTTGTAGGAGTCCCACATTTCCTTTCCCTCTTTCCATACAGTGGAGCCAAAAAATATTAACAGTCCTGGTAGATGTGAAGTTAATGTTTTCACTCGATATACAACAGTAAAATAAAACTGTATAATAGTCAGCTTTGAAAATAATCTTTATATTACAGAAAGGGCTTTTTAGTGTTTAATGAAGGAATTTTAACTGCATTACAGCAATCAAACCCTTAAAATGTCTGAGGAAAAAAATGCTTCATTCTTGTTTCTATTGGTAGTTTTACTTAAGTCTGTTTTTGTAGCATAGCAGGGAAACGGTGATTGACAGCACTAAGACCCGCCTCCTGGCTCTGATTGGTTGTTTCTGATCATCTGTGCATTTCTGCAAATGGCAGAGGAGCTTTTTTTTATTTAAACATTCACAAAAGTTACATACTGCAGTTTTAAATTGTATACTTCAAATGCTGACGTATATTTTTGCCGTTCCTCATGTGTATTTTATTTTATTTTTTATCTCCCAGGTGGAAGAGGAGCTGTTGGAGCAGGAGTTCCTGGAGCGCTGCTTCCAGGAAATGCTGGAGGAGGAAGACCAGGACTGGTTCATCCCTTCGCGTGACCTCAACAACCAGGGAGTCGGCCAGCTGCAGCAGCAACTCAACGGGCTGTCGGTCAGCGACCACCACAGCAACGTGGAGGAAGTGGCGGTGAGTCTGCGTCTCTCCTCCCCCTCACACACACACATCCTGTTTACAAGAAAAAGTTTTAAGTCTTTTTTCTTGTCGTCTTCTGCAGAGGAAGAGCATCTTGAATCCTGAAGCGAAGGAATTTGTCCCAGGGATGAAATACTAGAAGTCCCCCTCACCCCCATGGAGCCTCCATGCACACATGAGCCCTTGCACATCCAGAGACTCTTTACGGCCATGGCCGCACACATTCTTATTGTTACACACACACGCATACACACACCGTACACACTTGAAGTCAGTGGCGTGCCGGTAGGCCCAGTCGGGGGGTGGGGGGATTTCTTTTTTTTCTTTTCTTTTTTCCTCTTTAATCTTTTTATTTTTGTTTTTTTTCTCGTAAACTGAGGGGCGCTGGGCCCCGCAGACGCTAGCTCATCGTTTGCATTTCACGTGTCATATTTGCCGTTTTGCAGAGCATGCAGAGCTCACTGTGGCTCCCTGGGAACTGTGGCAGCTACCTGAGAGAGATGCCAGGTCAAAACGTCAACCCAAAGGCTTTACAAGAAATCTAAATCAGTTCGGATCGACACTTGTAACTGCTTCATTTTCAATTTTTTTCTGCTTTGTTTGTTTTTTCTCCAAAATGAGCAAACACCATTTTTAGTAGGAAGAGGGTTTCAGCAACAGCAAGGCTAAAGAAGGACAAGAATTTCAGGGGACTCCAGTGAGGTTCTGTCTGCTCTGCAAACTCATCAGTCATTAAAATTAATTAAATCCGATATATGAAAACTCCTGGTTACATCGCAGCTCTTGTGCATCCAGAGATACGAGTTCACCTGTAGCGGCAGCAGCTCTGTTTCTGAACAAACCCGGACGCCTCCTGCCCTCCCCCGCCGTTCATCCCCCCACCCTGCCTGGCAGTTCATTTCAACCTGTCAGGGCAGACATGGACAACTGTAATCGTGGATGAGAAATTTATTTTTCAGATTTTATATAGAAATCCAGGTTTATCTTTTTGTCCAGCGCGCAAGAGCCGAGGTGGTTTAACGTCTAAATCATGCATCAAGTTGAGTTTGTTGTTTAAAAAAGAAGAAGAAAAAAAAAGATTCTAATTGTTTAGTTTGCTATCAGCTTCATGCTTGGTTTCAGATTGGGTTTATTTGGGGACCAGCGTTGTTATGGGAACGAGGGTGAAGAGGAGACGGGCTTGCTTTGAAACACAGCCGCTGCCTCCTCCTGCTGGACCGGCTCTGTTCGTTCAGATTTAGTGCCCAGATCAGGTTCTCAAAAATAGCTTTGTCTCCTTTTTTTTTTTTCCTTCTCCTTTCTTTCCACTTTGTGTATTTGAGGACGAGGCGTTGGTCTCTACTGTGGTGTCCAATTTGTCCTGGTAAAGTGGAGCATTTGGTGGACAGTATTGCATCCCTCCAATTCTTTTTATTCCTACTCGAGGACAGAATTTGTTTTTCCTTCTCGACGAAGTTCTTCCTTCTAAACCAGAACTCCTCGTGGATTTTCCAGAGTTTGTATTGTTTGAATATAATATCAGTTAAATTAAGGAGATGCTGTTGGCTGCAGTCGCAAATTACGACGTCCCGTTTTCTGAGATCTGCCACGTCGGCTTATAAATTCAGCGGCAGTATTATGGAGAAACCATCAGAATATTTCACCACTGGGTAATTAGTCGTCCTATTGGCTCGTCTTGGTGCTGTTGCTGCCTGTAAGCGCAGGAGTTCTGGTTTTCAGGCGGAACTTCCTCAGTGTTGGACCACAGCACCGAACGGCAACCTGGGGAACGGAGAAGCCAGCAGGGACCGTCCTCCAGGTGGATCGTACAACATGAAATCATTTTTTTTTTTTTGGTGATTTTTGTTTTG